TCCTGGAACATGGCTTTTGTCCCGAATATATGGCCACTAACTAATGAAGGAAGGGGATAGGCAAACATATATGCGGGGGTTATATAAGTACCAGCATCCTGATGCAATGATAATTTCTTCACCAACCAACCAGAACAGCTAGATGAGGAGGACAACTACAGCTACTTAAATACGGGTTCCTCGACTAGTTATAATCCTAAGAAGAGTGGGGATCGCTACTCTTGAAACTGTTGTTGATTAGGGACCGAGATTCTGACCAATATCGTCTCAGCCACTTATTTGACCGGCAGAGACAGTATTTGATCCCATGGATTAACTGTAGTTATCATCGAACTTTTAAATCCTAGGCCGATACCATCACCGAAGCTGTACTGTACAAGACAAACCTCCACCTCCCATTGCGCCTGGAAGAAATGATCCATTCCTAGCCATGAAACATTGGTTTGAGGTGATTTATGGTGTTAAAATATGCGGCTTTTGGCGTCGACAGGTTGACAGGCTGCATCACCATCTCCAGGATGCTCGAGTGTAGTAGCTATTGCTGCTAGAAGGACCGTGGTACTTATGCTTTACCTATGGCGGGTATCTGCATTTCCGGATACCCCTCCTCTGGTTGATCAATCATGACCACGATGAATGGCCCCTCTTCACCTCCGGAAAATACTGCCGAAGCTCAACCAGAAGGAAATTATGGCGTCAGGAGTGGAAGTAGAAGATCGAATGAAAGAGAAGAAGAGAAGAGAGCCACGCGGGGGAGATGCGCGATCAGATCATACTCTACGTATGTACAGTTTCTAGAGGCGGGGAAATGATTGATAGCTATCATAATTATAATCAATTGACCCTATGTACCTAGGCACAATACTTACGTCGCCTCCAAAGGAAACCCCTGTCGAGCTGGCTGCTCTGCAAAAGCTTGCATAAGTCTGGATCGGGTTCTACCTTGTAAAGTAGATAGAGTACCCCATTCCACAAGTGCATAAAGTACATAATCGGGCGGTTCTGGCTTGCCACTTAATCTGTTATCAGACGGCGGCGCCAGTACTGCTCCAAATCTGGAGCCCTGCTTAATATATTTTTCTGAAAATTTGAGATAATCTATATTGGTACCACCAAGTCCACTTTTGAGATATAGATGATGGATTTTATTACGGTGTCAATACCTACAGTAAAGCAAATTAGCGCACAAGTAAAAGGTCTACCACCAGCCTCAGCAGCAGTCCATTCTCGGCCTTTCTCATTTCCAGTCGAACTGCAAACCTCAGTGAGAAAACCTCAGTGAAAAGAAGCAAACAACATGCATCGTACGCTGCACAACAGATATGTATGTAGAAGAAATAAGCAAATAACTCCAGCAAGCCCTCTTTGACGGAGGCCGCCAGCGCCCTTCACCAATTGCACTATCAACCATCGTGCCATACGATAGGAATCTGGAGACCTGCGAAAAGCTCAACTAAAGCCTCCGACTGCGATAGATATCGCGATAAAAAAACATTCCTATCCCCCAGATCATCCAAAGGTACATGTAGGTACTTATCGCAACCCATCCACCGGAGGCCTCCGGTTGTGCATCCCAACCAAGCTTTGAAGCGAGCGACGTTTTCTTTCCTTTTCCTTTCCAGAAGACTGCGGGGAGCTTCCCTAGCTATGTACCTAGCCCCCCTTGATGTAGTTCTTTTTTTTTTCCTCTCGAGTCCCATCGCGACAACGTAGGTAGCGTGCATGTAGCTGTGTGTTCCCGACAACCTGTCAAGCGAAGAAGAACATCGGAACAGCTTCGTTGATACGGCAGACCCTTCGGGGGAAAAAGCCAAGTCGCCCCCTCGTACCGGGAACGTTAAGCTCTACCAGGAAGGTCGTCAACGGCGGCCTCCGCTAACGAGTCGTGTGCCTGTAGGCTAGCACTGAAACTGGGCTGGCAAGCTGTAAGAGTATGTACTCTAATGCACCTCAGCTCCATGCGAGCGATATTTGTGTCTTCTCTTGCGTGTGGAAGGCTCCCAAGTGGTAAGGTTGTGTCTGATATCGAGTAATGATTGTAACAATCCTAACAATCCAATGATAATACTGCCCAGTCATGGCTTTCAAAAGTGCTCAAAGTGTAGGAAGTTAGTTCGGTGATGCCTGCAGAAAGCTTCCCTCTGGGATGGTGCCGCCAACCGTCGAGCCAATTGTACTCTAACTCTAACCCTACATGTAGAAACAATCCTTACCCACTCACATGCTACGGATAAGCCGTTGGTGGGATGGGTTTCTGCGAGCGAGAAAGAAGGCGCCTAGGTAACTACTCTGGCTACCAAAAAACTCCACCTTGAGGTCCTGGCATGCCTGATCAACGCCCGCCAAATTAATGCTAGCCAGCTGGGTGTTAGAGGCCCCACTGGGATACGGAGGATCTAGACGAAGATAGCAAGTCTGCAGGGTCCAAAAAAATATTTCGTAGTGAGCAGCCTTGATGTTCGTGTGCTCTGTTCTCCCCTTTTTTTCTCTCTTGAACTCGGCGTCCTCAAGTTCGAACACACTCGTTTTTTGCCAGGGCCAGTGATTACTTTGTGGGACCCATACCAATCATAAAAACCTGCTCGGGGTACCTCACCAGATACACACCTAGGCCCATACGCTCTTTTTATAATATCCGGTAGATCTCCTCCCACGGACGATACCACGGACGACAACATACCCGGGAACTTCGTCTAGAATTCTCTGAAAAGAAGTACCCACTCCCTGCGCCGCTGACGAGGTCTGGTACCTGGGTTTTCTAAATATTATATCTATCGAGAGACGCACGCACTCTTCCACCCCCAACTCGTCAATTTCCAGACCATCACGGCATACACGACGAATTCTCGGCCATCATGACTTGGGTAGAGCGCTTCAACAGGCGCGTTGCGACCAGCCCTGTGGGGAAGTACTTTCAGTTGGAGTTTTCGGGACACAGGAAGGAGAGGAAAGGATCGCGGTTCTTTACTGAGATTCGTGCGGGATTGGCTACGTGAGTTGATGCTCTATTCTACTCTTCTGATTATTGAACTTCAAAAGGGATCAATGCTTATCATGGGGATCTATGCAGGTTTTTTGCTATGGCGTCAGTACTCCCTTGATTAGATATATATATTTGCGAGCTTGAGGCTTGACCACGGGTAACCGTTACTAACTTACGCCTTGTTCAACATCTACAGTTACATCATTTCTGTAAGTTACACAACCTCATTGATAATGGCAATCCTTAAGAACAAGCGCTGATAATATACTGTTTATAGGTAAATGCAAACATCACTTCACAATCTGGCGGGACCTGTGTTTGCAATGCCGGTCCAGATGACCCAATCTGTGCGACCGATACTGATTACCTCCTTTGCGTTGGCGTCGTCAACCGTGATCTTGTTACCGCTACTGCTGCTATCTCCGCTCTCACGTCTTTCTTTATGGGCCTCGGCGCTAATATGCCAATTGCTTGCGCTCCTGGTATGGGACTTAACGCTTACTTCGCATACCAAGTCGTCGGTTTCCACGGCTCCGGACCAGTCCCCTATAGTCTTGCTGTAACTGCTGTTTTCGTAGAAGGATTTATCTTTGTTGCGCTCTCTATTTTCGGAATGCGGCAATGGCTTGCGAGAGCCATTCCTGCCTCTATCAAACTCGCAACAGGAGCGGGAATTGGCTTGTATTTGGCACTTATTGGACTTACCTACTCTGCCGGTATTGGCGCCGTTACTGGTGCTACCTCGACACCTTTGGAGCTTGCCGGATGTATTGATGAGTACAAGAATGCGGATACCGGAATGTGTGAAAGTCACAAATTGCGAAACCCGACCTTGTGGATTGGTATTTTCTGTGGCGGAATTTTCACGGCATTTTTGATGATGTATAGAATTAAGGGTGCGATTATTGCTGGTATTGCGTTGGTTTCGATTATCAGTTGGCCTAGGGGAACGGAGGTTACCTACTTTCCGTACACTGAGACTGGGAATTCAAACTTTGACTTTTTCAAGAAAGTTGTTGCGTTTCATCCGGTAAGCCCTTGAGCTGGTAATAATGAGGGGGAGCTGGTTGCTGATATTCCCGTGCACAGATTGAGAAGATTCTTGTTGCCCAGGAGTGGAATTTGAGTGGTGCTGGAAGCCAATTTGGTTTGGGTGAGTGATTTTTTATGATTCCCTCAATTCTTAACTAACCGTGTGTTATAGCCCTCGTCACCTTCCTCTATGTTGATATCCTCGACTGTACTGGTACCCTCTACTCCATGGCCCATTTTGCCAACCTCATCGACGAACGCACCCAAGATTTCGAGGGCTCAGCCGTCGCCTATCTCGTCGATGCCATTGGTGTTTCCATCGGTTCCCTCTTTGGATGTCCCCCCGTCACCGCCTACATCGAATCCGGAGCTGGTATCTCAGAAGGTGGAATGACTGGTATCACTGCCATGGTTACCGGGATCTGCTTCTTCATCTCTCTCTTCTTTGCACCAATCTTTGCATCCATCCCACCATGGGCCACAGGGTGCACCCTTATTATCGTCGGAAGTATGATGATGAAGGCTGCGGCAGACATCAACTGGGCCTACCCCGGTGATGGAATCCCGGCGTTCGTCACCATCATGGTGATGCCGTTCACATACTCTATCGCCTATGGATTGATTGCTGGAATCATCACCTATATCGTCCTCAATGTCGGTGTCTGGGTTATTAAGAAGGCTTCTGGGGGAAGGATTGTGCCATACGGCGAGGAGATGAAAGATCCGTGGACTTGGAAAATTCCAGGTGGGTTCTTCCCTAAGTGGGTCGTTAGAGCCAGCAGGGGTGATAAAACTTTCTGGAAGAGCGATGAGATCGATGGAGAAAGCAATGTCGACGGGAGTGCGAGGAGAAGCGGGAGTGCGGGTGGAGCTGAAGGGAATAAATACGGTGAGCCTTTTGCGGAGGAGAAGAAGGCTTAAACTTTGCAACTACAGGTTTAGATACGAGGGCGGAATCCTCTCCGGTTTAGTGCGGGGTCCATTTCTAGATGCGGATACTATGGTCATGGGTTAGAGTTAGATACTGACGGGCCCTGTCGATCTTCTTTTCGGTTCTTTTGGAAGGGTAGTAAGCTTTTTAGCGAAGTAAAATGTAATAGTCTGATTATACTTATGTGCCTCATACGTTATATATGGACCTGAATGAATTATTTAATGCAAAAGACTAGTGGTTGCTTTTGAGTGATTTTGGAAGACCTAGAATCTGATTTACAATAACACTGGTGTTTGAGCCTTTGGATTGGTCCTTCATTTGGCCCTTGGCAAGGCAACTCTCGTACTTCACCAAACGAAATTTCGAAAGAGCAGAGTGCATGTAGGAACATTGTTTCTCTAGTGTGTGGTTCAGGATGTATGTTGTTATGAAACATGCTCGTGATAGTTAGGCTTCTGATGACGTAGCTACATGTAGGCTCCAAGGACATCAGCAGTCGTAGGTTAGAACTCGTAGCTGCGATCTGTCCTACGGTAACGCCCCCTCCCCCCGCCTCCACACACACAAACAACCCTAGTCCACATCTAAAAAAGATCCTCGATCTAGATCTAAATACTGATACCTCCCCTTCCTTTGAGAGTCTGGCATGTTTGATATAGCTACATGGACATCAGTAGCCTGCAGGTATACTATGTAGCTTCAGCATATGATAGCATGAATTGATAACTCGATCGGGTTATATTTGCGTACAATCATATGAAGTTGAAATATACAGTAGGTATGGGAGCGTACTGCACCGGGGAGATCGACCACAACCACGGGCCAAAGTTAGTGGGTGCATAATAAGAGCAACCTGCTATGATATTAATGTTCAATAGCACTCGGCCATGCATTTATAATCTAGCACTGCATTTACCTGGATATGTACTTCTGTTCCGTATTTCATTTGTTCGGGAAACATGCAGATGCATGACTCGCCCCGCTTCATAAGGGTAGTCGCTTTACAAAGGCACAGGTTCTGGGTTTATGAGTACTCGTCCTGCAAGAGTACAACTTTCTCGTCTACAGTCGGACCCTGGCATAGTAGGGCAAGTCGTCGACAGTGTGACGTTTTCGTCGTCCCAGGTGTGACGTTCTTAGAAAAGACACGTTGTGTTAAAAACGCGGGATAGGGTAACTGATCACGAGCCTCCCATCTCGCCGTTAACTCCATCCTATCTTATTCTATAAGCTTTATCCTCCACTGAAGCTCCGGATCCGGTTGAGGTGAGCTTGAGTTCCCCGAGTGCTATTTCAGATGATGCAAGAATTGGGGAACGGACTCCACACCTCGAATGAAGGGCTCTGCCAAGTAAGACTTTCCGAATCTGGGCCATCCGTTTGAAAGTTAACCAGGCCTATAGGGCTCGAATTATTATCGCCATTGGCATTTCAGGCCTAGCGAGAGCAATCTTGGATGATATTCTATGAAGCTATCAAGAAGCTCGGAACCCCAACATGCATTTCTCAATGGCAATTCCGCGATTCATTTCCGCCAGCTTTCGGCCTACTTACCGGGTAGATTGAGAGTTAAGGAGTTAAGACAAACTCTTGGACGTCCACTAAGTTTGATTCTGAACCCTTGCCATTAGCTGTTGCTTTGTCACCTCACTATCGAGTGATATCGGAAGAACCGGTCCTCGCAACAGTACCGGTAATTGAACCGGTCCGTCTTTTGGCCGTAACCGATCTGGGTATGTAACAATTACATGTATATTTGTCTTATGGTACCGGAAGTTTCTTTTTCTAATTAATATTCACTGAAATTGTGCGTACATGGTAGGTACACATCCTTACTTACCCGGTCACTCACAGAGATATAAAATTCCACAGTTGTGACTGTGAGTGAAACCTTGGATCTCAATCAAAGCCACCGGCTTCCCCGAGTCAACAAATCCCGGGGCGTGACAAAACGCCCACCGACCACCGACTGGCCCCTAATAGCGCAATTCCGGGTGCTATATCCCGTTCGACCGCTTATCGCAAGGCGATGGTGAGGGCAACATGGATACCTAGGAATCGTAAACTGCACCCTCTCGGCTCCATATTTTTCATGCATATTGAATATGGGGGGCATATAGAATGAGGTACAGTAACTCTGGGTGTGAAGTTCATTTCGTTAACTGCCTATTATGTCACTGCAGGTCAATAATGCTCGTTGACATGGTGCTGGCTGTGATTGTGAATTGGAGATTTGGGATTGGGTGTTGTTGCAGGCTATTTGACGCTTTTAAACGAGATGGGTCCCTGCCTGCCCTAGCCCTGTGGGGGAATTCACGTGCAACATCGTGCGTGCAGGGCAGGAGGTAGGGCTTTACCGAAAACCTAATTCTCCACAACATGGCAATCGATATCCAGAACTTCAGCAAAGCAAAGCCTCCACTTGAAGAGAGAGGCAGACTACTCAGCCCACCTTTTCAGCACGGCATGTTTCTACTTCTTATCTTCAGATCTAGATCACAGCCTCGAATGCGGCCGCTTGGCAACGGCGTTAAAATGGGCTGTGAGGTGGTTGACTCTCATCCTGTGGCTTCGGCTAGGCTTTTAGCGGGTAAAACTGACGACGTCTGTGGCGCACTACTGATAAAACAAACAAAATTCGAGCTGAACATCTAGCGCAGTGCAGCCCTGTGGAGAAGAGAGTTTTTTCACGGCCGCGATCGGCGGCACAGTGGATAGAAAATTTGGGAATTCTCACATCCTACGTAATGGTCTCTGCAGGGGGGGGTCATGGTTGGTGGTGGTAATTTTTTTTTCTTTCTCATTTCGTGGGTTGGGTCCAGTACGAGAGAGACCGAGTGATCGCGGAGGTATCCACAATAGGACCCAACCGTATCGCCGGCGGAAAAATGGGATAAAAAAAACCAAAAAAGTGGAAATCATCGCAGAAAAGAATAGAAAATATGGACTCGAAGAGGACGAATGAGAGAACGAGTATGGGCATAATAAGCGCAGTTACTTCTTCTTTCTCACCATTATCCATGTCTTTTAGGGGGTCAATTCCTCTTTTTGTCAGCTGAGCTGCAATATGGGCTCCTGAAACGTTATATACATGTCTACCTACATGCTCAACTTGTCATACTGGTACAAATATCACATTCTCTATTCCCTCGCGTGGACCGAATTTTTGATAATGGTACGTTCTTAAGATCTTTGGCATCAGAATGGGAGGTCAATTTCCTGCAGAGCGCAACTAATGCGTTAGTTACATGTCAAGACGTCGAGAATCTACTGCTTTGGGAACAGAAGTGGAAATCTGAAGAAGAAGAAGTCGAAGAAGAAGGCCAGGCCAGGCCAGGGTCGGATGCATATTCCGGTAGATTGGTGATAAGATCTTATTTTCTCGTCCTTCCCGCGCCAGTGACATACAGCTATCCCACTGTGGAGGGCAGGTGCAGTAGTTCTAGAGTACCACATCCAGTCTAATGCAGTAGATTTATACCCGCGCGCACTAATAATTACTCTTCTCCTGTCCTGGAGAAAACCAAACCTGGGACGAGCGCATTGACGTGACGGTAAATCTACCGTATTTTGTACACGTTGCAGAGTATTTTTTATTTTTATTTTTATTAGTTGATACGGAGAGGAACTTTGAAGACCTTTTGGTTCCTTTTTTTATTTCATGTTTTTTGGACGCGCGCCGGGGAGATTGGGAGTGTGAAAAGATTTAGATCTGAACGACATAAGGACGATGGTAGCTGAATAGCCAGTGAGCGCGCGTTAGGTGATACTAGTGGGGGGACAATAATCTTGAAAATAGTAGTAATGATAGCAACTAGTGGTATCAAGCATTAGTTTTCCAAGTTGTTTCCCCGTATTCTTTATGTCTTGTCATGTCGATAAGGGGGGGAACAGAGCGTCTATCCAGACAGAAGATGTGTCTCGGATCAAGCAGCACTCCGTAGATCGAAACCCCAAACCTTGATTTGACGCGACGAGAGAAACGCGGTCCCAAAAATAGCCAACGAAATTGAAGATCCGAAATGGGATAAATGGGAAATTCAGCGGGCACGAAAAACTTGCCACAATGAGCAAGGCGAAACACCACCCCTCCCACCTCCGTTCTCCCTCATACCCTGTAAGCTAGGCTACAGGATAGGGTGCTATGTACCGCTACCAGATGGAGTGCTTGTATATCAGGTATCTGATTGATGGTTGGGTCTGGGGTAGACCCAGTAAAGGGAGCGATATTGGGCTGGTAAACGAACGGACAACGCACACGTTGGAGATCAAGAGGTCCATGGAGGGCGTCATCTCGTGTGCAGCGGGGAGTTGGAGCTAATCGGCCCTCTAGTGATGTGAGGATGAGCTCGAGATCTCAAAACGTGAGTACTAAGGGAAAGATGGTATGGAAGCAACGACTGGTCAACTGTTAAGATGAGAAGATGACGGTTGATGTAAGGAGACCTGCAGCATGTTAATCGGTGGAATAGACAATTATTGTACATGTACATGTAGGTGCTCAAGATATTATGTAGAGCAGTAGCAGGAGTAGTAACAGTAGCAGTAGTAGCTAATGTTTGCACCTCCACTCTCCCTGTGATCTACTGTACATACACCACCACACGGTCTCCATAGCTCGCTCGCCGCAGTTCACTCACTCACTCCCTGGTCTTGGGGGGGAAGGTCCGGTTATCTGGAGTGGCCTGGAGGCCACACTCTCTAATCCACCCCCCCAACATACAAAAGAACCCCTCCCCCGCCCCTCCGTATTCCCCTCCTTTTTTTCCCTTCCCTGATTGCGAGCATCATCACCATCTTCAACTCGGCCTCACACAACCCCTCTCCTCCCATCAACGGCCCCTCACAGTTTAATTGTTTATAAAATATTCCAATATCTCCGCTTGAGACAGAGCCCCTCCTCTCCCCCTCACTTTAGATTCGCGCACTCTGCTACTTCTCCCCCTTCGAGAACAGTACGTGCATAGTAGCGGTTTCTATCGCAGTAGAAAAGGCACATATCTGGACGCGTTCTAGTGCTTACTTGGCGCCTGTACCATCTGGTTTGTGCTCCTTACATGCACCATCCATATTCCTTCTCCCTTCATTCACCGTCCCCCTCTCCCTCTGTAAGGATCATGCAAAGACATGACGGGGTGGGGGGGAAGGGGAATTAAGAATTTTGTCTCGAACACTCAACTTACTATATGGTTTTTTTCCTTCTTTTTTGGTCGAGTCAGAAATTCAAGTCACGACGCGGCTCATTACTACTTTTGCTTAATTGCTTCTGGGTCACAACTTCACAAAACCTCACCCGGTACCTTTTTTTTGTACCTCATTCCGCTCAATCCAGCATTTCTCGTGTCAACTTCCCCCATTCCATATAACATTCAGCAAAACCAATTCCTTACGCGATTTGAACGCGTTTTGCGATTTTGCTTCGTCTTCTCCGTATATTCTTCTGTGTAGAAAAAAAAAAAAAAGTTAGTCGTTATGAATTCAACGCGTCCGCGACCAGTAAAGATCTACCGAGACGCGCTCGGACCCTCGTCAACGCCCGGTTACACCTCCTTGTCCAAGACTTGCATCCCAGCCATTCCTTTATTCTCAGCTTCCGCCGCTTCATCCAGGCACACCCCCTTACAACGCACTCATCATGGTCGTGGAAACCCGCAGACCATAATGTTCCGTCCTCCCATCGTCGGCCCTTCAACATCCCCTTCTAAGAAAAAGATCATAAGCAGGACTATATACAATAATACCCTTTACCCGTCGAGAATCCCTTTACCTAACCGTGTGTTCAAGAACTCTTTCGAAAGAATATCTATGCCTCCGCCTCAAGCAGAAGATTTTACCACTGACTCGCCTATGAAAAAACCTCCCATCTCAGTATTCAACACTTCCTCAGCTCCCATGGCAGCTACTCAGCAGCAGAGAAGACCCCAGAGTGCATTGTTCACTAGCTTCCAAGCTAGCTCGACAAAGGTCATGACAGGGAAGGAGAATATGATACCAGATGTACGCTCATCAGAAGAACCTACAATAGTGGGAGGGAAGCAGGTCGTCTCTTCATCATCAACAGCGTCATCGTCCCAACGGTCAGGTGCTCCACGAAGGGTCTTGATGGAGGCCGCCCCGATTAAGGAAAAGAAGCCGCTTAAAGAGAGGACCCCTGTCAATAACGCCTCACCCGAGAAGGAGTCGCTCTCATGGGAACCGCCGGAGATTGTCGATGACGGCAAAAAGCCTCCCTACAGCTACGCTACTCTTATCGGCATGGCTATTCTTCGGGCCCCTTCTCGTCGTCTAACACTTGCTCAGATCTACAAGTGGATCGCAGATACCTTTCTCTACTACAGGACTTCCAACAATGGATGGCAGAACAGCATCAGACACAATCTATCACTCAACAAGGCATTCGTGAAGCAGGAGAGACCCAAGGATGACCCGGGAAAGGGAAACTATTGGATTGTAGGTAAAGGCTTTGAGAATCAGTTCATGAAGAATAAGAGCTCGCGCAAGTCGGCCTCCGGATCCCACTCAAAGAAGCTCTCGACATCAAAGGCAATGATGCTGGACGAGATGGAAAGCGCTGCGGAAGCCGAGGATATTGAGATTCATGTCGACCGTTCTGAGCAGATTGACAGCACGGATACTATCGAGGAGAACATCGGGAAGGACTCGGTAGACGAGTTGCTTGCTCTATCATCTGATGCTACTAGGAGCGCCAGTCCTGAACCCCGAGTCATGCCTGACGAGGATGATGATATCTTCCGACCTTCGTCACCACAAGCAACCATCGCTGCAAACTCATCACCCCCAGCAATCATGTGTTCATCGCCACCAATGACCAGAAGCCAGATGCACCTTCCCCGTGATGCGACTCCTCCCTCAGTCTTCCAGACACGGAAAAGGAAGATGTGCGCAATGAATGACAGCGGTTACCTTTCGTCGCTGGAATCATCGGTGGTGCGACCAAACAGCGACGAAGACAGACCCAGAATCAAGCGCGGAAGAGCCGAGGAAGACATTGCTCGTATTCGACATTCCTCTCACGAAAGCCCAATCCGCAGATCGGCAAAGACTGGATATCACAATTTTCTCAACTCATCCCCACTGCGGGGCTGCGATCACAACCCAATGCTCCCCCCTCTCACCCCTGCTACTGTGCTTCGTGCGCAGAAGCCCCCGATGTCTGTGAGCCCGATCACGAACCTCCGACTTCATCGCGAGCGCGTGAAAAGGATGCTTACATCACCTGCCCGTGACATCACTTGTTTGGAAGATAATCACTGGAGCAACGCATACCAGAGTCTTGGCGACTACAATTACAATATGCACCATGACGAAAACGCTGAAATCACAGAAATAATTTCTAGAGCTTGCTATGGATCACCAGACAAACGTGCGGCAAAGCGACGAGAAGCCAGGGAAAGCTTCGGGGGCGAATTAAGGCCAGCGGAACTTCTCGGTGAAGGCTTTCTCGAGCCGCTAGATATCTTTGGCATTGATGTATATGGCGTCATGAGGAGCGGTTTTGAACAGTTCAAGAACGACGGGTTTGGGTCCCCAAGTAGACCTGGGTTGGACCGAAGCCATACTACAGATTTTTAATGGGCTTACTCCCCACGACATGAGACAACGATCATCACGAATTACGAATTCCTTTATTTTTTATCTTAACTTTTTTGGGTGGGAATCTGGACAAAACTGACACGGAGCGCCTATGTTTATTTCTTTCAAAGCTTCATTTTATTTTAAGAAGTCACGAAGTTCATGATGGAACTGGAAGGTCGGGATGGAAGGCCATACATCAGGCAGACCTTGTTATTATCCTTTTTTGGTTGTTTGTTATTTTTCGGATTGGTTTCTATTGGCCATTTTCTATAGTGCGGGGTTCTCCGGGTCTGGTGGGGGTGTTCTTTTTTTTTTTTATGTTCATGTTTTGGGTTGTTTGTTTTTGTTTTCGTTTTCGCCTGTTTGAGCGACTGCAGATATGTCATTTTTTTTCCCTTTCGCATTGGAGTCTCGACGCGTTTGTGTGCGGTTTTTTTTTTTTTTTTACAACTGTTTGCCACAACAAATTCTTTTTTTTTGTTGCTCCCATACTCATTAGGCTATAATACCCTCTTCTTTTCTTCTCATTTGGTAATAATACCAGCACCTAGGGATTTGGAATTCATTCGGGGGGCATTGCTGAAAATACTGGCGGGGTAATGGTGTTTGTTTACAAAGATCAAAGCTTATTGAGGGGAGTGTGTATTTTTTATTTTTCTATTTTTTTTTCTATGCGTGTGGGTGTGTGATGGGTCATTATGCATGTTTTCTGTTTACTTTTTTTCTTTTAACAGCTTGTGGTTTGATGGATTTCCAGAGCACACATTGGTACCATCATTGTTATTATCGCGAGTTATGGTGTTTTTATTGGTTGGGAATTGGGTTTGGCGGGGGAATTCTGTTTTTATCTTACTTTTGAATCAATACTTTAGTGTATTCTACCAAGAAGTACTGAAAATACCTGCCCTGTAAGGCCGCCGGTCTCCTGCAGTGAAGATCTCGTAAGATATCGCGATTATTGCGAGTTTTAAATTCCCTGTGTATTTCGTATTTTATATATGACTTTTATTTTTATTTTTATTTTTTATTCTTTTATTTTCCAATAGGAAGCTTGAATTTCGAATTTCAGCACGCAGGCAACAGCTCCTTATCGGGTGACCTCCCACCGCGTATCACAGTCGCGCTCGCGTCGTCACGCGATTCAAGCTGTTGACAGGGAAGGGGTGAAAGAAAAAAGAGCGCCGCCTTGTGAGAATTGACGTAGTAAGGCTACCTATCGGCATATCACAAGCGGAATGGAGAGAGATGATGATGGGTGTATTGATATGGAGCGGTGGTGAGATCTCGCGCGCAGGACTATGTAAGGCAGTGTAACCACTGTAACCTCGTCGAGTTCGCTCTTACTGGACGTTGAACTGGAGACTTCGCTGTTATCGGCTAGTTATCCGATTAGTACCAATGATAGGAGCTCTGGCAATTAATTCGGAACATCCACATCCCAGACACAAAAGAGCACATCTAGAGTACTGCGAGCGACGTATTTGTAACCGAACTAGCTACCCATTGATCAGCAGCAGGAATAGAGTACGGTTCATGCACATGCGAGTTTGAGACGATGGAAGTCGGAGTTAGGCTGGAAGTGTTCTTTTTTTTCTCAAGCCACAAACAGAAGGAGACCAATATGGAGGTCGAAGTAAACTGTTATGCATGGAGGGGTACATGTAAACAAACCCAGAGTAGCTGGAATGGGCACGCGTCTATGGACTATCAAAAGCCGCAACTAAAAAAACACTAGCTAGAGATCGGTGAGATCATTCGGGGAGGGTGGTTCTTGGAGCATTTACCCGTGCTGTCACGGTCTGTTACTGTCTGAAAATTGCTCAGATATACCGTGGTACTCGTGAGATCGCCCGGGGGGGGGGGGGGGGGGTCTAGAACATCGGATCGAACTAGAGAAACGCATCCTGCAAGTACGGTGGATTTAAAACACTGAGGCATAATAAAAAAGAAGCAGGCTGGTAATGGGGCTATCTACAGGTATCAGCAATTGAAGATATCGACCTAGGTTTAAGCCTGAGGACAGTTGTAATGATTAACATCAATACATATAATACTAGGGCCAACGTTTGTTGAACACAAGTTATTAGCTACGCGTATTGAACGGGCAAATTCAGTCCGGCCTGGACTTACCTGACCTTTTATCCAAACCCGACGTGACCCTGCTTGAACTTTGTTTTCCCATAAACTAACATTCACTAATAGAAAACTCAAGTCCCGGACAAGGACCAGCTACCAGTAAGTTCTGGTTCACTAATAGAATTTACCTATATAAAGCTCTTGAGTCAGGAATACTCAACATCTAGCGTGAATCTGGGCTATATATATACTTACTGGCTTTCAAGACTACTAAGGTATTGTTTTAACATTGCTGTTGTCGTTGTTGCGCGAGATGGAAAGTCGACGTCATGATGTATTTGGTTAGATCTGCAAGACAGGCAGGGGACAGATTAGTACTGCGGGCCTGTAACAACGAACTGAATGTAGATTGGGCTAGATCGCGCTAGTACCCAACTGGGATTCAACTCCTAAATAATTTCAAAATAAGGAACTGGTCAATTATATCAGATACAGGTTTCTCTACATCGATGAAATGTAGAAATAAGTGATTTTTTTGTATCTTACTAGTAGTAACACGTGATCTCCTCAACATATCACGTGAAAAGTACAGTTTTTATGATACCTATCTGTGTATTAAATTATTTGACTGGGCCACGAAGGCTTTGCTGTTGCTTCACAAGAATAGTACTATAACGATCCTTACGGGTAACACTGCTGAAAGATCGTCCTGTCTTAGCTACTAGTAGTCTTCAAAAAAAAAAAAAAACTCTGGACTTCTGATTCTCACCTCACAGAATATCATTCGATTTTCATTCTTTTTTCGAAACATCTTGCCTATAACTCTTGATCATCTATCCCAGAGAATTAGTTCACGATGAGGCGTCGAACCAATAAGAACAAATACATGAGGGTAGATGATGAAATCAGGGGAGCTGGTTGTCCATCCGGTTCTCTCGATGGTAGTAGTTACCGCTCGTCACCTCTATCATCAACACCGAACTTTTCTTCTCCTGGACCTGCGACTGAACAGTCAAGACAATCATTCCGTACCCCGAAAACTCCGGGAGCAGAGAAAAGCTTTACTGGTAATCCATCACTAAAGCAGCCAATGGCTTTATCCAACCAACGCCCAATTGATCCTGGACAGAGTCCGTCTGGATCAGTTCAACGAACCAGCAGTCGGAAGCGCAAGTCCCACGAGTTTCTTGTTCTAGATGAAGAGATGATGGAGCAGGAGGAGAAGAGATTAGCAGAAAGAGAAAGGAAGGATAAACCAAAAGATACAAAGGAACGTGATGTGTTGAAGAGGCAGCGGAATTCGAATCGAAACAAAGGTGAGAGCAAAACATATGAACTGGGAGGACAGCTGGATGATATCATATCAGGAGAGAGTCATTGATTGGCTAAAGGTGGCCAACGATGATTGGGAGATTACCGAAACCTGTCGATTCCCCTTTTGCTAATTACAGTACAATTTAGGGACTAAGGCTAAAGGAACCCAAACCAAACAGAACGAAGACGAAGAAGACATGGCCAAAAAACGTGTAACAACGAAGAACAAGGCCAAAGATAAACATGGAGAAGTTACAAATAATCTTCGTGATAAATACGGGGCTGTGATTCATCCAGATCCACACCAATGTTCATTACTAGAACTCAGCTCAAAAGGGGATTCCATGGAGCTCTACGAATTTGAAATGCCTCAACATCACGGAGAGGATAAGGATGGCCCAGAATTCATTGGTGTTCCAAACACTGGTGAGCGTTCCCCGACGCTCATGCCGGAATTGTGGAAAGACGGGGAAAGACTATACCCACACGAGGGGTATGAAGAAAAGGTTACTCAGAAAGAATTTGACGAGTGGGTTGGACCATATTTCAAGAAGTTGACGAATGAGGAAAAAGTGTTTTTAGAAGACAAGGGTGACATGAAGACACCTTTCATCATCCCAGACCTGGGCCTACACTATTCTAAGACCTGGGCAGAGGAAGATGGATTAGCAACTCCAGAAGACAAGAAACCTTCTGAGTCACCCCCGCCGACCCCAAAGGATGGATCTCTTCCACCGGGGCATTCCTTCAGGCCATTGACTGCACGTCTCTTTGCGCTTCTTCTTCCAGAAGATCGGGAAGGCCCCACCAATACAGACTCAGAGAGTGCCAATAATCTTTCAGGCTCTCAGCCGGATCCAAATGCATATACCACCACCATGCCAGGCCTAGAAGAGCTAGATCTTGTTGCGGATGGGCCTACCGATGAAAGACTCGCTCAGGAGTTGCGTTACATTGGATTTTTTGACAAAAACACCACATATGCTTGGGAAACTGGTAAAAAGAAAAGGACCGGCGATGAGACCGACGAAGGGTCCGAGGATGAAATTGATGAAGAGGCTGACGATGACACTGACAAAGAATCCGAGGATGACATTGATGGAGACACAGACGAGAAGACTGACGAAGAAACCGAGGATGAAACTAGTGAAGAGGCCGACGATAGCGTGGGCGAGAAACCCACGGATGAAGTTTCAATGCGCCTAAAAGAACTTCAGGGCATTCTCCGAAACCAATGTGTTCTAAACATTGCAAGAAAGACAAGAATTTCGGGGAAGATGGAGCGTCATATGGTTCACCAAGAGCTACTACGGCGCTTTGAACCTCTGGATAAAAAGATCAATGATGCATCGAGCACATTCATTAAGAAGAGTTTAACTGTGGTTAAGAGATTTCAAACAATGAATAAAAAAGGTGCGCCTGCAACCCGCCGTGGGAAGAGAACTGGCTTTACTAAAAAACCATGGCCGATACCGGAACCTATCCGGAAAACAATGAAAGAAAGGAAGCTTTTGGTGAGAACCAGCGAAGCAGCACTCAAAGGCGGAACTCTAGGTGCCTTGCCTATTGAAAACACATTCGAGGAGATGGGTGATCTCTTGAAGAAGGTAGAGGAAGAACTGGAAGCCAGTGCTGACCAAGTAATGGTTGATTGTAACTCGTCCGAGGGGGGAGGTGAGGAATGGGAAGATGAAGATGAGGGAGGAGAGGGGACTAAGAGGAAGAGAAAGGAGAAAGATGATGATGATTACTATGAGGAGGAAGAGAAGGAGAAGGGCAAGAAAGAGGAAGAGGACGAGGAGGACGAAGAGGACGAGGGTGAAGATGACGAGGAAAGTGAGTCTTGGGGGGAAGATGATGATGATGACGATTACAAGGGACGCGTATGTGGATTGTAGGTGGATTAATCGTTCATTTCTCTTGAGAGGGGGCAAGAAAGCAGGTTTAAAGATTTCAAAATTCGCATACTCGTTTGGCTCTAGTTTGTACTATAGAGCGGTTGCGCTAAATTAACACTGCCAGCTCATTATGGTCTTCAATAATACAATTTTATGCTTCTCTTATCCAGACGTGTGACTGAAATTCCAGGGTTTTGATATAAAGGCAAATCTTCGAGGTTCTGCTTTGCTTACCAGGCCGGGAGTTAAGTAAACAGGCGTATATAATCAATCGCTTGAAACAGAATGGGACTTATCACTAAAACTGAAACTTCTAGGGTACATAATCTTACGAGACACTAGACGTTGGGAAGTGAAAGAGGACCTGGAAAACTACATCATGTATGAGTGACTATAAAAAGATCCCTCCAAGATTACCTACAATATATGAATATTATGGATGGCCGAGCATTGACATCGAAGGGTTAGGGGTTCTGCTTCATCTTAGCGAACTACCAAGCTCAAGTATCACTTCCAGCGCAGTATCCACCATGGACGAGTGGACTAGTGGTCGACCGCCCGTCGGGCCAGACACCGAGTGTTGACCCAGGATGTAAGGTCCTGGGTTCAAACCAGGGGTGGGGGTAGTAGCGCACACTAATCAATAAGTCGCTACAGTACCTTTTGTTCTTTTTATTGTAGTGAAATAAATTAGGAGGCTATTTTGATTTTGATTTCTCTAGAGGATAATTATATAAAGAGGTGAGTGGTGTAGCTGGGAATCGACACTTATTACTGGCTTTGCCCACGTTGTTGATCAAGATGTTGATTTTGGGCTTTCGGACCTGTAAGTTAAATCTCCGGGTTGGGCTTTTTCTTGGAGTTTATATTTTGTATGGAGTTATATTTCACGTATTTGTTCCGTCCTAGTTATGAGTATATCATATTGGCCAACAGGCCGGCCCATCCTGTCGACAAATATTGCATATTGACCAATGATTCCTGAGATTTGACAAACAGTCACTGATCTTCTGTCCGGCTGGCCAATGCCTGCCAGAATTTGACCAAAGTTGACTAATATATAGCGGTAATTATTAATATTATCTACATATATAAAACCCATCGCCTAACAACTGAGAAACTCAAAGAACACATTCTACCTACATGTATGTACCTTGCGCCCGATATACCACCATCCTAGGGCTACATAAGTAATGCAAATAAATATTTCTTTAATAAATAGCTAATTACATGAACAAATTTCCGCCGAAAAAGATGAGAATTATATAGCAAAATGCCCTGTAAGCGAAAATAAGAGCTCGTTCACCAATTATGGCCCATTGGCGGCCAATAATCAGTGTTTGCGACTGGGACGGGACATTTTATATTTTTTGCAAGGGCCATTTTCCATGGTTACGGCTTGTGAGGGTCTAGAACATGTTCTTACCACCTATTTTAGGTATATAAAGCTCTATAATTTACCCATATTATAATAATACATGTAATCAAGAAAATAGTCATAGTATTCCGCACCGAAAAACTTCACAAGATATGCGAATGCCGCGAGTGATATTTCGTGAAGAAAGCTTGGCTATTGATTAAGTACTATTACAGTATGTACCTACATGCAGCTTCCCGACCACGTACTCGGGGCAGGTAAAAAGTACCGGACAATGCAGGTTTTTGGTTCACCAATGGGTGCGCGTGCTAGGCGTGAACTACTGGAAAAAAGGCCCAGAGACAAAACTTGCATTGTCCAGTACTTTTTTGCCTGCCCCGGGTATGGTTTACGCGAAGAAAGTTTAAGGACCTCAAATGTCAATACAGCGCCTCCGCCGAGAGTATCCGCTTGGCAGGCAGGGTGGAGGTTAAACCTTAACCGCAGCAGCTTTATTGGTTTGAGACAACGATACTCTCCCTGAAATCGAGGATAATTTTTTCTGAAGGTAGGGTGGTTCGAATGACGAACCTCTTTACCTGGTGAAGGGGGTTCGTGATAGCCCCAGTGGTATGGCCAAGAGGTTGTAACGTTAATTAGGCCACACCCCACACGCACAAAGCTGTGCCTAAATAACGTTCCTAACTAACCCTAACTAATGGAGAATAATTGAGTGGCTTAATTTATGCTCTTTTTAACAGTACATCATATAATCACTACCACCCGTTCTCGGTTCTTAACTCTTCCCTTTGGTTCATCAGGTTTATAACCATCACCAATATCCCCAACCCTTCAAGCTCGACACAGAAAGCAATGGCCTTCCTAAAGATTGTCCTCTTCGGTTTGAGAGGCCACGGATAACTCGAAACTGCTAGCAGGCACCTCACTCCGCCCACTATGCCTCCTCTCATCACGTAATTGATCTATAATTCGAAAGCACAACAACTTCATAGACTCTCACTCGATTCGAAATGTATTTACTTCGAAAGACTACAAACTATACGGATAATTGCTAATGAAAAAGCAAAGAAATAAAAGAAATATCGGGTGCGTTATACACTCAACCCAGGGCTTTTATAGTAGATGCCTTCTCGGGGCCGCCGTGGAAAGGCTACTCAAGATTATTGGTGGAAAGTCGAGTTATGGCCGGGTCATATGGTGAAGCATTATCCTCTAGGCCCGTGCTTCTAGCCGCTTGCCCAGCTTACCTTATGTTCTTGCTATATTTATACGAGCCTTAAATCTACACTGGTAAAGCGTTCTGGAACCATGGCCGGATGAGAGTTTGTTTACTCCATATATAGCTGCGGGGTATTTTACTAGTATTACACCAATCAGTCTCTCTGCTGGTACGCATGCAGATTTGGAACTTTCGGATCTTTAATTTAGGGATTTTAATAGGTGTGTGATATGACAAACGGAGGATCGCTTGTGATATACTTATCATCGATCTCTCACGAGAAGGTTCTGACTGTGTTTAAATTTCGGGAAGATCGGGACTGTGTGGAAACACAAAAAATCACTCGACGTCTAACAGCAACCCCACGTAGTAAAGGAAACGAAGTATACGTATACTATGATCTTAATAAACCGAGACGGTTGTAAATCGGGGGAAAGAATCCCCTTTCTATGTAGTATAATATTTAAAACAGGTTCCAAACAAAGAAGAAGAAAAAGAAGACTGTACGAGTTATATGAAAAGAATCTGGCTAATTATAAATAAGCCTATTAACGCACCCTAGCCACTATATCTAATCATCAACTTGTGTGTATCTGCGTGAAGCTGGATTCGATTTCATAAGATATAGATGTTCTGTCCCATTTAGAGACGCGTACAATCTAGACTCTAGAGATATTCTTGGATTTTACGCTATATATTGTACTTACTATTCAGGATTAAAATTCTGTACCGGAATCATTTGATTAATTAGGCCTTTTACAGTCATATAAACTGCAGAGAACACTTATGATTAAAGGTTTCGATCCTCTTATACTTTGGGATCGTCCTATAACGAAGGATGTAAGTTGAAGGACCTTTTGGTCCTGTGCGCATAAGTCTAAATTAGTCTTCGTAGATGCATGGCGTTTACGAATACGACAGCTATTGTGTATGTAAAAAGCGCGCCAAGTCCATATTTTTCAATGGCATGTGCATGCAATAGCGGTCGTGCTTGGAAACGTCGTTAAGTTATGAGTATGTATGTGAATTGTACAATTTTTAGTGTACGAGTCAGGGGCGTTCTTGCGAAATACGTGTTCGTAGTAACATAGGTAGATATTAACCCATTGGGCCTTCTATCAAGTTTAAACGGCAATTTCAAAAGATATAGGGTACCACTTAAGAAATAACAATATTCCAATTTGGATCGACGAAAAGACGTTCGCTCGCTAGCTATGGTACACAAATAAGAATCAAGTCCTCATTTTCGTTCTGGGACCTCCCTGTTTTTAACGAACTCTCAAGCTCACCTCCATGAACCCGTGCCACATATCCTTCATAATTATTAGCATTCTTGAGGTACCGTTCATGTATCCGGAGCTGCATTCAATCGCCTGAAGCACATCCCCTACAACCACAGCTCACACACTCGACGGTCTGCTGCTCAGTTCCAAGTCGTGCCTTGGGTACCCGGCATATGCAGGTAGCGTTGAAGTTGTTTTCTTTCGCCTGGATGCATCGAAGACAGCATAATTTCTCATAGCCTTGTTTCTTCCTAATTTTCATTAGATTTCGGATAATAATAAGAGGAAGGACACTGTCTTACCATTTCGCTATGAGCATGGCATCGGCATAGTTATTCTTCAACAAATAGTTGTAGAGCTCTTTAGAGATGGCCTCTTTGTTGTAATATAGATCGTAGATGTACCTCGAACCTAGATTTCAATCCTCAGCTTCCTGTATCTCACGGCGCGGAGGTGAGAGTAAGTGGCGGAGCTTACGTTGGTGAGATATCTTGAAAATTTCCCATGTTGCTTCATTCTTCCGTTTTCCTTCATGAGGCGCGTTTCCGGCTATAGCGACGCGACAGTTTCAGAATTAGTCTGGGTCCATTTGGTCTCGCTGCGAAGTAGAGGTGGGGATGAGCACACGGGTGAAGAAAAGTACTAGAACAGGGGCGAAAAACCGCGAGTGAATAAGGGGGATTAGCTTACCATCCTTCATCTTATTGGCAAACTCGAGAAGCATGTCCTCGAGGTCGTCAAACCCCTCCGGCGGGGTTTTTGAAGATTTACTGGTTCTGATGGGAGGCATCTTCGCGGGAGTTGAGTGTCGGGGGTGATGAAGCTCGAGTGGTCGCGATATGAGGTTGGGTTAGAGAGGTGTCGTCGACAAGAGCCTCAACTTTTCTTGACATGACGCAGCGACCAAATAAAAAAATATGTAATGTCACCAAAAGTGAATCACTTGATCAAAGTCCGACATCACCGCTTCTTATTTTTGTTTGTAAAATACATGCATCCATTGTAACTCATAGCTAACAACCTATATACGGAACACGAAGAAAAAAAAGAGGGAAAAAAAGAAATAGAAATAGAAGAAAATACCAATAATGATTATTATTTCCACAACTTTTTTTATGCGCTAATAACTTTCTTCACTCTTTCCCTTAATTTCCGGATCAGCTCGTCGATAGACTCCATATCCTCCGCGTCGAGATCCTTCTTTGGCGCAAGCTCTTCTGGGAGCAAGTCCAGTGCCTGCTTCAATGACGGCTCATTGTTGCGAATCTGACTGCTGAGTGCATATACAGCTTTGGTTCTGACCTTCTCCTCGGGGTCTTTCAGGATAAGTTCGACGATTTTTGGAACACCACCGTGCTTGTGCATGGCCTCCTGGGACTTGATGTTGTTCTGGGTAGCAGTCCCAATGCACCAAGCGGCCATGAAGCGGAGCTGAAACTCAGGTGCAGAGAGCTGAGAGATCAACGGGGACCAGAGTTTGAGATTGTCGATGTTGTTGGCATTGTCGAGATTCTCGACAAGCATCTCAAAGTTATCGAAGGCGATTTCTTTGTCGGGGAGGGACACCTCGGGGTCGAGAACCGTGGCCATCGATTCCTTCATCACGGTGGAGTCATCCTTTACGTTGCCAAAGAGCTTGGCGAGAAGAGCAGGATCCTAACGATGAAGGTTAATTATAATTAGTCTGAGAACACGCGGACAGGAGGGAAAAAAAAGAACAGGTTCAAGTCGTGACGTACCAACTCGGTTCTTTTATCTTCGGGTGCCCCAGGCACCGAATTCTCGATGCCCCAGGAGAGAAGCTTTGACATATCCGACATGATTATCTGTTGAGGAGATTTGGTGGTGGTGATGGTTTGTGTTTGATATCAGTGAGCTTCGCTGATGGTTGTCGCAGTTGTAGCCTTTCTTTTTCGTGGGGCTTAATGGTGTGACGCCGAAACAGCTGGAAACAAAAAGACACTTCGGGAGTACACTCCGAGATTCTAACCCATTGATAAAGATGGCCAAAGGGTAATTTATGTCCTTAAATTATCAAATTTTGATTTAAAACAATGTTTAAACGTTGTGATGTTTTTAGCTCTTCTCAAACAAGTTCCATGAAGCTTGACATTCGTTGCATTTAGAATTGCGAAACAGTTAAAACCCCACCATGCCCGCGTTTACCCCGCCATCAAGTTTTCAGCCTCAAACCAGCTATGTATACCAAGAAAATGGCCAAGAAGATTAATGTTTCATGGCAGTATTGATACTCAATTTACACGACAGCTTTGTTCGTTCTTGTCGTCAGCTCCAGCAAGATAATTCATTCCTACTCTCAGCGACCAAATAAGTCATAAACGCTCTGGGAAACGCGGCCGAGCCGCGCACGGTACTGACGTTACTCGGGAGGTCTTTACCGGTACTCAATTTACTCTCTAGAAGCACAGATCCATCATCGGTGTAGCACACAGACTACACCAGGAACGAAATATGCCAAGAAGCCGGTGCAGTCGAGTTGACCGCGCGTACGGTGAAGGTAAAAGCTTACATTCCGTGAACCATTACAGTGTCACCTAGGAGCATAGGGCGAAACATGTTCAGTATCAAGAGTTTTTATAACACCGAGAATGCTTCCATAGATGAACATTCGTAAAATGTAAAAATAGGACCTCTATAATTCATGTATGGTGGCGGCGAATAAGTATATGTAATTGCCCAGTAAGATATCCGCGTCAGCGCTTGGTCCCCATCATCGATGACAAAGAAGGAAACTCGACTTCCTTGTGAAGCAAGAAACCCTAATACTACTGTCTGCCAAGCCTCCATAATATGGCGCTGGCGTGTTGGGGGCGGAAGAAGGGCATATCGTGGTGGTGGTGGGTGTGTGCGTGGGTAACTGCGTGCGGGCCTCTCCCTTTCTCTCCTCCTCCTCTCTCCCCTTTTCTCTTCTCTTCCCGAACACCCATCTATCTTCCATCTACAAAAGCCATCCATCGTCCCCCCATCCCGGAGAAGCCAGTTCCCCCCTGCTACTCCATCTCAGTTTCTATCACCACAACTACAACTATCAACCCACGTAATTCACGAATTCCTTAAACTTTCTAATCTCATAGACCTTTTTCATCAACAACAATGGAAGGTCAGTAGAAGTCCCCCTGAATCTTGTTCATCTTCATCCATCTCGAGATGATAGCTTCTGTTTGGGATTCATTATGCTAATTTTCATCGTGAACAACAGAAGAAGTTGCTGCCGTATGTGAACCCATTAAACTCCATGTGTTGTCCGTTGTTGGGACTTGATGTGGGGTTGTCAAGGTGTACTGTGATACAATTCAAGCTAACATGATCTGAAACGTTTCCAGCTCGTTATCGACAATGGGTAAGCAATGATTTACAACCCACAACCCGATCGGATTCAGTGGAATTTTAATGCTGACGCTGTAAACAGTTCTGGTATGTGCAAGGCCGGTTTCGCCGGTGACGATGCTCCAAGAGCTGTTTTCCGTAAGTTCTATCCCTGATCCCAGCGGTGTAGTGACTTGTGTCTTGTACCACCCCGCTATTTGTACAACACGACATTCGCTGACCACTCGATAGCATCCATTGTTGGACGTCCTCGCCATCATGGGTAAAAACTCCCAGAATCCCTTTCTCACTACCCCAGCTCTGGACCCCTTTTGCTCTAGTTGATGCGCAATAATGGGCGATCAATCTGGGGTGTAGAGTAGTGAAACATTAAGTACATCATAATTAGGCAAAGCTAACAATACTTTCTGCTCACTAGTATCATGATTGGTATGGGTCAGAAAGATTCATATGTCGGTGATGAGGCCCAGTCTAAGCGTGGTATTCTTACCCTGAGATACCCCATCGAACACGGTGTCGTTACCAACTGGGACGACATGGAGAAGATCTGGCATCACACTTTCTACAACGAGTTGCGAGTGGCGCCTGAGGAGCACCCTGTTCTCTTGACTGAAGCTCCTATCAACCCCAAGTCCAACCGTGAGAAGATGACACAAATTGTCTTCGAAACCTTCAACGCCCCTGCTTTCTACGTGTCTATCCAGGCAGTGTTGTCTCTGTACGCTTCCGGTCGTACCACCGGTATCGTTCTTGACTCTGGTGATGGTGTCACTCACGTTGTCCCCATCTATGAAGGATTTGCTCTTCCCCACGCTATCTCTCGTGTAGACATGGCTGGACGTGATCTTACCGATTACCTCATGAAGATCCTTGCTGAGCGTGGTTACACTTTCAACACCACCGCCGAGCGTGAAATTGTCCGTGACATCAAGGAGAAGCTCTGTTACGTTGCCCTTGACTTCGAGCAGGAGATCCAGACCGCCTCGCAGTCCTCTAGCTTGGAGAAGTCATACGAGCTTCCCGACGGACAGGTCATTACTATTGGTAACGAGCGTTTCCGTGCCCCTGAGGCTCTCTTCCAGCCTGCCGTTCTCGGTCTCGAATCTGGCGGAATCCACGTCACCACCTTCAACTCAATCATGAAGTGTGATGTTGATGTCCGTAAGGATTTGTACGGAAACATTGTCATGTCTGGTGGTACTACTATGTACCCTGGTATTGCCGACCGTATGCAGAAGGAGATCACCTCCCTTGCACCTTCTTCAATGAAGGTCAAGATCATCGCCCCCCCTGAGAGGAAATACTGTAAGTTTAAAAAATCTCCTGGCTATAGAAGGACCTTGATGAGCTAATTTTATCACAGCTGTCTGGATCGGAGGATCTATCTTGGCATCTCTGTCCACCTTCCAGCAGATGTGGATCTCAAAGCAGGAGTACGACGAGAGTGGTCCTTCCATTGTCCACCGCAAGTATGTTATTCTGTGCTTTGCCAAATATACTACATATGCTGACGATCTCTTAGGTGCTTCTAAACATAATAATCGATTGGGCCGGTCTGCGTGCAAAATCAACGGTTTTGATGTTGACGTAGTAATACAAGAACCGGTGGGTGAAGGGGAGTGGGGAGTGGGGAGAGGTATGTGGCGAAGAAGCAAAACTGCGGGGTATTTGGCGGGGAATGCTTGTCGGGGGATTCGATATCTTTCTTTCGCTGTTAACCGTTTTTTTGTTTTTGTGCTATTACGTACTTGTATCTGAATAAAGAGCGGTATAGTGGAGCGTAAGGGGATTTATCTTATGCCCTGGGTTTTAAAACTTTTTTCACCTTTAGTATGTTTATTGTTTCGGTCCCACATCTAAGAGTTCATATCACCAAAAAAAAAGAAGTTTCTTTTGCAAAAACAAGCTACATGGAAGTTTCTGATCACAGCGTGTCCTTCTCGGCATCTTGAAGCTTTCCTCGGCTGAATAGATCAACGCCCTGGTTCTGCATTTGCACTAGTCAGTGACATGCATGCAACTCGCTTTGTCTCTTGGGCATTCACTGGGACTTATTTAGTAGATGTTCTTGATGGTTTTAGGCGTCCAAATGTGAACTGTAGACACCCTGGGGTCCGCTTGTTATAAAATGATACCTCCGATCAATGCCAAAAATATAGGTTCTCGGGCCCAGTTAATTCTAGCGTGTAATTTCTTCCAGAAACTCTTTAGAATATTATGACCAAGGCTTACCCCAATCTGACGCGTAGATTTGGCGCATGAGATATCGTTGATTAACCCAGTTCGTCTAATCTTCCCGTCTTACTTGAAGTCCCTAGGGTAGAGCCCCAATCCAGACAGCTGTGAAAACGCCTAAGGAGCCACATAGTATACCAAGAGGCTTTGGAGCTGGTGCCACATACATGTAAGGTTGATATTGATATTCCTAGCTGTAGCAGTCAC